TGAGAGGAAGGGGATGTCCATCTTCTCACACTGCGTCGTGAAATCCCTGTAGAGGGGGTCCGGGGAGCGTTTGGGGTAGAAGATGGTGGGCTCGTAGTCCTGCGTGGTGGAGAAGGGTGGGGGGATGCGGCGTTGGAGCCTGGCATCGCTCCGGGATGAAGAGGAGGAAGAGGAGGAGGAGGAGGGAGATACCTACAAAGATGCGCAGGTGCCGGGCGCACACCAGCCCGATGGCCCCGTTCTGTGCTGGGCCACACACCACCAGCACCGTGGGCTGCTTCCGGGGCAGCGACGGCAGCGGGAAGGCCTGGAGAGAGGGGATGGGGACATGGCACCGGCACCGAGCCCCGTCCCCCCGGGTCAGCCCTGGGGGTGGCACCCGGCGCCGGGGACCGAGGGGGACCAGGGCTTGAGGGCAGATGGAGCTGTGATGGGGACGTGCTGCTGGTGGGATGGGCATGAGACCCAAGGTGGGATGGGGATGGCACCCACAGTGGGATGGGGATGGCACCCAGTGCATGTGATGGGATGGGGTGATGCCCACAGAGAGATGAAGATGGTGCCCCTATTGGGATGAGGATGATGCCCATGGTGGGATAGGGATGATACCCATGGTGGGATGGGGATGGCACCCACAGCAGGATGGGGACGGCACCCCTGGCAGGACAGGGCATGTGATGAGATGGGAATGATGCCCGCAGAGGGGTGGGGGTGGCACCCAGGGCAGGAGAGGGCTCGTAGTGGGATGAGGATGACACCGAAGGCAGGATGCAGGTGGTGCCCACAGCGGGATGGGGATGATACCCATGATGGGATAGGAATGATACCCATGGTGGGATGGCAGGAAAGGGCTGATGATGGGATGGGGATGATGCCCACAGAGGGATGGTACCTAGAACAGGACTTGGATGGCACCCAGGGCAGGACAGGGCATGTGATGGGATGGGGTGATGCCCACAGTGAGATGAAGATGGTGCCCCCAGTGGGATGAGGATGATGCCCATGGCAGGATGGTGATGATATCCAAGATGGGACAGGGGGACAGCACCCACAGCAGGATGGGGACGGCACCCCTGGCAGGACAGGGCATGTGATGAGATGGGAATGATGCCCGCAGAGGGGTGGGGGTGGCACCCAGGGCAGGAGAGGGCTCGTAGTGGGATGAGGAGGA